TGAACCTTTATGCATTCAATACAAATGTGATTATTAAGTTTAAAAACTTAACTGACTGATTTGAAAACAATTAAAATTTAAATAAATTAAATTCTCTTTAGTAAATGAATTTCTAGAACAAAACAAACTACTGATATTAAATTTCTAAAAATTTTTGAAGCATACAAAAATTACAAATTTCTAACCTTGATGAAGTTTTTATATCAGATAGAAGAAAGATTATTCCCTACAACATTAATACTGTTAATTTATCAAAAAGATTAAAGAAAAGTCCTTCTTCACCCAAAAAAATTGTTATAAGGTGTTAGCCTCTTTTACAAAAACATTTTAATTTTATCTGCATATAAAAAAGCAATTAAACTATCGGCAGCACAATAATGCAGTAGGTGGACGCCTAATATGGTCATGTTTCCCCACGATTATTTCATAGCATTATATGAGGAAAAAACATCCTTCAAAATAACAGTAGAATTTGACTAATTTAATATAAATATAGATAAAATATCTGAAAGGTTTCAGATTTTAAGGATTTGTTAAGGTTTATTGTGCTCTCGCTGACCTCGCAGTCTGCCAGTCTGTTGTTGCACTCACTCCCGCTAACCCATTTTTTTTAAAAATCTTTTTAGGTATTAAGCATCGTTTGTTTCGCATTTTACCCCATAGTCGAAACACAAAGTTACAAAATTTTTAACAGCAGCACAGAAGCATATCTTTAAAATTCTCGATGCAGTGGCATAAATTTTTAGCTCAAAGGGGAAATACTTTCGTTTTAGCATTTTGCGTCAGTTCATTTTTGAAATTGTTGCAACCAAATATTACGGCACTGCATTACATTTAAAGAAATTAAATAATGAAGAATCTGCATGAATGTTTGTATATTTCTCTCAATGTGAGAAAACGCCGGTACCTAGAGCCATCAAATTTGGAACAACGTAGTTCTGCATTCGAATATGGGCATCTGGAAACCCAAATTTGGAATTTGTTTTATTTTTTTCATATTTTGTCAAACATTACAGAATTTTTGATTAACTACCTCAACTATTTCAAAGCGAGCAATGGCAACACTGTACGAAAAAAAATTCAGCGAACGAGACTGCAACGGATATTCTAAACATAAGCTAGTTTTAAAATTATTTTGAGATATTGCTGTTGAAGTGAATTTTATGATTTAAGTGCGAACAACATGATATTTAATAAATAAAGGTAACCTTCAAAATCTTAAAAAAAACACCCCTTTGGGAATAATGTAAGATCTGAAAGCTTTCGGAATTTTTTAAAAAAACTAATTAACTGTTTTTAATCAGGTTAATCTGTTTTAACTAATCATACAACTTAAATTATTTTCCCTTGATATTATTATTTTCTGGAATTAAAATATGGCAATTTGTGAATGGCAATATGGCGTTCCTTTTAAAATAAGATCAGGTAATTTCAGGATGCGTGAATGTAGATAAAGAGAAACTGTGAATACATATTCACAAAACAAAATTTACAAAAAGATAAGAATTAGTAATGGGTAAGTTTATCTGAACAAAATTCTTTGTTAAAAGAACTTGCTTTTGTTGAATTCAAAAACGAATAAATTTAGACAGTGTTTGGTGTGGGTAGAATTTGAATTTTATCTTGTCTTACGAGTTTGTAGTATAATTCTAAACTTCAAGAATTATGATAAAAATTGGCACACTGATGTTTTAGAACCGCTCTCTGTTACAATTAATCTTATTTATTACGAAGAAATTTAATTTGTATTTCATTTCTTATTGTTCAGTTCTTTATCCACTTAATGCCGTTTTTTAAAATTTAACAACTTATTGTAGTTTAAATTTAATTTTATTTGATTTAAGACTTGCATTTTTCAGCAATGCTTTTCTCATACAAGAAAGAAGACATTTTCAGCGTATTTAAAATAGAAACTGATGATAGCTATGTTATGTAATGTTATTGAAGTATAAAATATTGACTCTGGAATGTTCTTAGCTCAATAGCCTTCGATAAACTATCACGAAAATTAAAATGGTATATTTACAGTATTTTGACAAGTACGCAAGATTATTATTCTTAGTAATTGTAGTTTTGTAGTACATAAATGTTTTATTTATATAACTTTTAACTAAATAATACTATATTTGCATAGGTAAGTTAAAGAACATGTTTAATGTTTTTAAATTAAAATAAAAATCCCAAGAATTATTTCATTTAAAAATGCCATATAATCTTCCCTTTCTGGAATAATTTAAAAACTTCATCGATGAATTTTGTACATTAAAATTGGCAACAATATTCAGTAGTACTTTGATTTTATAAGGCTTAGTTGTGATAGTTTATTGTGATAGTTTTCTGTGCAATAATCTATTCAATTGTAGGATTTTAAATATTTGAATTAAACTTCCTAAAACTTATTTTTGTTGCATATATACATTTTTTGGATTGATATTTCTTAAATTATGAAAATTTAATTTAATTTTTGCATACTGATAAATTTACTGAAAGGGAAAAATTAGAGTTTTAGAATTTTCAGTTAATCGCTGGCAAAGAATGTTAGATATACAATTATAAAATGTGAATACATTATCTCATATTAGATATCATTGAAAAAACTTTTAATATGCAAAGATGTGTTGACAAAATAAAATCAGGTAGCACTTTAAAATACTTTAAAAATATAAATTTAAAAAGATTAAGAAATAATTTTGCAAAACTTTTCAAACTTCTCTACTTCTATGTTTAATTGAATGGAGTTCTTTTTTAAATTAGAGGACCACCTAAGATTATTTCGAATCGAATGCAATGCCGTTTTTATATTTTTAAAATATCTAAATAAAAACAAAGTTTACTAATCAGAAATAAAAATTCTTTAGCGAAATTCATTTAATTTCTACATATGAGAAGAAATAGTAAAGTTACCAAGTTCATCATTGACGTTGCCAATTACTATTGCCAACAATAATTATGTAATTGGCTGATTAATGAACGATTTTTGTTGCCTTGAATCTCAATAATAGAATAACAAAATTCTGGCAACACGTGAGTTGGGTTGAAAAAGTAGAATAGCATAAAATTTGCTAATAACAACGCAGAATATCAAAAACTGATAATAAATAAATTTGGATCAAATAGTAATAAAATAAACACTACAAATATCTACGTTTTGAGTCAAATGCTTTAAAAAACTGCAAGAACTTACCAGGTGCTCAAAATTAACATTGCTATAAGATTATTTCGAATCGAATGGGATGCCATTTTTATATTTTTAAAATATCTAAATAAAACAGAATGAAACTTACTAATAAGAATTAAAAATTCTTTAGCGAATTAATTTAATTTCTACAAATGAGGAGAATGTTAACGCATTTACCGAATTCACCATTGACGTTGCCAATTTAATATTGCCAACAATAATTATGTAATTAGCTGATTAATGAACGATTTTTTGTTGCCTTGAATCTCAATAATAGAATAACAAAATTCTGGCAACACGTGAGTTGGGATTGAAAAAGTAGAATAGCATAAAATTTGCTAATAACAACGCAGAATATCAAAAACTGATAATAAATAAATTTGGATCAAATAGTAATAAAATAAACACTACAAATATCTACGTTTTGAGTCAAATGCTTTAAAAAACTGCAAGAACTTACCAGGTGCTCAAAATTAACATTGCTATAAGATTATTTCGAATCGAATGGGATGCCATTTTTATATTTTTAAAATATCTAAATAAAACAGAATGAAACTTACTAATAAGAATTAAAAATTCTTTAGCGAAATTAATTTAATTTCTACAAATGAGGAGAAATGTTAACGCATTTACCGAATTCACCATTGACGTTGCCAATTTAATATTGCCAACAATAATTATGTAATTAGCTGATTAATGAACGATTTTTTGTTGCCTTGAATCTCAATAATAGAATAACAAAATTCTGGCAACACGTGAATTGGGATTGAAAAAGTAGAATAGCATAAAATTTGCTAATAACAACGCAGAATATCAAAAACTGATAATAAATAAATTTGGATCAAATAGTAATAAAATAAACACTACAAATATCTACGTTTTGAGTCAAATGCTTTAAAAAACTGCAAGAACTTACCAGGTGCTCAAAATTAACATTGCTATAAGATTATTTCGAATCGAATGGAATGCCATTTTTATATTTTTAAAATATCTAAATAAAACAGAATGAAACTTACTAATAAGAATTAAAAATTCTTTAGCGAAATTAATTTAATTTCTACAAATGAGGAGAAATGTTAACGCATTTACCGAATTCACCATTGACGTTGCCAATTTAATATTGCCAACAATAATTATGTAATTAGCTGATTAATGAACGATTTTTTGTTGCCTTGAATCTCAATAATAGAATAACAAAATTCTGGCAACACGTGAGTTGGGATTGAAAAAGTAGAATAGCATAAAATTTGCTAATAACAAACGCAGAAGAATATCAAAAAACTGATAATAAATAAATTTGGATCAAATAGTAATAAAATAAACACTACAAATATCTACGTTTTGAGTCAAATGCTTTAAAAAACTGCAAGAACTTACCAGGTGCTCAAAATTAACATTGCTATAAGATTATTTCGAATCGAATGGGATGCCATTTTTATATTTTTAAAATATCTAAATAAAACAGAATGAAACTTACTAATAAGAATTAAAAATTCTTTAGCGAAATTAATTTAATTTCTACAAATGAGGAGAAATGTTAACGCATTTACCGAATTCACCATTGACGTTGCCAATTTAATATTGCCAACAATAATTATGTAATTAGCTGATTAATGAACGATTTTTTGTGCCTTGAATCTCAATAATAGAATAACAAAATTTTGACAACACGTGAGTTGGGATTGAAAAAGTAGAATAATATAAAATTTGATAATAACAACACAGAATATCAAAAACTGATAACAATAAATAAATTTGGTGCAAATAGTAATAAAATGCACACTACAAATATCTGCGTTTTGAGTCAAATGCACGAACATACCTGTTGCTCAAAATTGACATTGCTACAGCTCCGCCTGCTGCAACTAACATGAGTGAAGTGGTGCGCGGCCTTCAACTCCACCTAAATAGGCTTCTTCTTACCGCTTCAATACCTTCCCCCAACCTCCCCACACCGTCATCCTTCCGTTTTCTCAACATCAAAGGATCTCCGAGAGTATGTGAATGAACTTACAGAGTAAGGGGAACGTTCGAATCATTCAGGAGATATGGTAATTTGTGTTTGTAAACATTAGAATGCAAAGAAACAGATATCTACTTTCTACCAAGAGAACTAAACTGCTGCATTCATAATTACGTAAAAGAAGGTCACATATCATTTTTCAAAAAAAAAAAAAAAAAAAAAAAAAAAAATTACGTGAAACAAGGTAAGTAATATTTTGCCAAGGAATGAATAGTCACTAGTAATTTAGTCACTCGATAAGGCTGTCAGCAGCTTATATGCCCCTCTTCCCACTTCAAAATCAGATGCTTAAATTCTTCCATGTGCTTAAAGATAAGAATGGGAACACACACAAGAAAAGTATTAAGGATATATTAGTAACTAATATTCATACAGTAAAGGTCCAAGTAAGATTCCAAATATTGAATAACATGGGCTGGGTCAAAAATCTGATTGCTGTTATCGGAAATCTAAGTTATATTGAGTAACAACAAATTGCAGTGGTTTGCATAAATCTAACATCACTAAGATTAATCATTAACTTAAAGGGCATAGATAGGTTGTTGAAGGATCATCATGTGGCCCACTTGAGGCAAAGTTCCAAAACACTATGAGTTTAACCTTTTCAAAATTGTGCTTTATCCCTAGAAAAATCCAGAAACTTAATGACTTATATTCTGCTGAGAGATTGGCAAACATTTAGCCAGACTCATGACTCAAATTTGGGGCTAAATGCTAGGAAAAGTGTTTTTCTGCTAAATAAAAGATATACTATCCCTGTATTTTCCTCGGCTGTAGCATAATTTCGACTTTTGACTAGACATGGTTGCCTCAAAACTCATCTGTTTTATCGTTGAGCTCGAGTTCGAATCCTGGAGAAGGCTTCGATGTTTGTTGGCGAATAGTTTCTTTGCGGTATGAAGGCATTTGAAATACCCGGCAACTTGAAAGTCTCCTTGAGTACTTAAGTGTCTTCTTGAGTACTTGAGTGTCTTCTTGAGTACTTGAGTGTCTTCTTGAGTACTTGAGTGTCTCCTTGAGTACTTGAGTGTAGCAGGGAAAGAAGGACTCATTATCATCGGATTCTTCAAAACTGGGATGGAAATGAGCAAAGTCATAGTGTTGTCTGTAAAGTGTCCAAGGTCCATGCCAATGACACACACCTAATAATCACAACAAACTTCGTGGATTTGATTTAATGTTACTGTTACTAAAAAAGCGAGATAAGTCACAAAAACAACAATATTAGACTCACTAATTCTTCAGTGTGCTATTTGTGACTCTGGACAAGCTGGACACAGAACATTCCAGTGTGTGTTTTGTACCAACATTCTTTCCATGATTTTAATTCTGTAACTCCGAATTACTAGGAGGCAAGGTAGCTAATGTTTTAAACACACTATTTTGGCCCACTTAAGAAACATAGTCTGTCTTTAGATATTCAGAATTTAACCCTTTGACCGGCCAGCGTTTTGGATAAGAAAGTCCAAAACCTGTCAGAGGGTTAATGATTGCTTAATCGAGTTCACCTGCTAGGGTAATCTGTCTTAAAGGGAGGGATTCCTTCAAGGAGGACTCTTTGAGCAAGTGATTCGTATTTATATTACATATGGAAATAACAAAGAAACATCTCGTGCGTCTAGTCCATTCGGCACGATTAAAACAAAGATCAAACTACCAGTGTTCGGTTAACTTTTCTACTACAGTTGGGCCCAAAAATGTTTAAACTGTAACTGTAAGTGAGCTGTAACTGTAAGTACGAGTATGTGTAACATTTACAGCTCATGAAAATTTTACTTTTATATCAAGTTCCACTTCGTATGTTTCATTTGTCCAGAGGAGGTGTTAGTAGTTTAAAACTGCTGAATACAAAATTTAGACTATAGTTTAGTTTTGTTTGTGCTTGAATAGCATAGTTTTGTGCTTCAGCTCTTTTTTTGTGTGCATGTTTTACTGACGTTTATTTCTATTCTTGTTGCAAGAGCCAAACTAGAGTAAATGTTTTGAGGTGCTTAATTTATTGGACGCATAGATGCATCATTTCACATTATCATATGCACTGATTGTCCTTCAGAAATGTATGGTCATTAGTTTACTTTGAAGCAGGACTACGTGAAAAATGAGCAATGCCCTAGACAGGACTCGAACCTGGACCTCTCGAATACGCCCCGAGCGTGCTACCGTTACACTACGAAGGAATTCTGGAAGAAGGGAGAAAATATACATCCTTTTCAAATGGCGACTGGGGATGAGGGTGTAAGGCTGGCTCTTCAAGTTAAAGCTATAATTTAATATTTTCGATTAGTCCTTAAAGACCTTATTTTCAAATATTTAAATTCTGGCGGGAAATATTGTAAAGACCTTATTTTATTCTAACCAATTATTTCTAATTTTAGAAATTTTACTTTTCCTTCTGTTCCGGATTTATCCAGCGTGTTTGAAGTAGGTTTGTACGTGAATAGGTGGTACTTAGCCACTATCTTTAGACTATACTGATATTCTAGGTTCGGCTTTGATGTGTGCAGCCGATTAAGCGGTTTAGATAAATAAGGAGTCAGTTGTGTAGCCAGAATAAAAAGGTTATTCAAACCTTCTTCTGTAGTCATCTATTTCCTCCAAGACCTAGCGAAAATTCGCTACTTAGTCTTTTCAGCTAGGGTCTACAGTGTATGATTCCAAAACATACTAAAGCACTCTACAAGGGGATCCAGTCGTCAAATCCTGGCGGTGACGAATTATTGTTCATCAACTTTTAGTTCTGGCGCCACTGTAGAATCATTAGGTTATTTTGAAGCAGGACTACATGAAAAATGAGCAATGCCGTCGACGGGACTTGAACCTCGTCCACTTGAATACACGACATGCTACGATTACACCACGAAGGCATACTGGAAGGAGAAAGAAAATACCTTATAAGGTTATGATAGCATCCACAAAAGTATTATATGGAACTAAACCTTACGACAGAGCATTCCGTATCTCCCGACAAGACAGCTCGAAGTGAAGAATATGTTTTTTCAATATGACCCACAAAGCGGTCTTTTATTAGACAAAAGACGTAATGCTAATATTATCAGCTGAAAACATTCCGAAAATAGTATACAGTCAAAAGTCGTTAATTCGGACACCCATAATCCGGACCTCAAAGCTACAAACTTTCTGCGCATGCGTCGCGTTGACGCATGCGCCTAAGACTTTTACGGCTGCGAATATGCGTGTGCGCATGCGCAAAATACGTTTACGCTTGCGCGTTTAATGTATAACGGACGGTATAAGCTAAGCTAAAATTATCTAATTCAGTTAATGTTGCAGATTGCGTTGTTCCTTAATCTTCGAATTGGATCCGGCTTATTATTTTTTGCAGACTGTTAGAGCAATTTTATAAAAGTAAGCTTAAACTTTCGATCATGTCAAATAGAATTTCTGATATATATTTACTAATATGTAAAGGATCTACAAAGCGAAAGTATGTTTCGAAGTCCATTAAACAAAAAGTGGAATTGCTGCAAAAAATGGATAAAGGCATATCCTTTGTTTATCTAACCATTCCGAAATCTGTTTATCAATTTTCCCCGCTGCTCTGCGGCGGGGGGGGGGACGCCGCGGCGCGCAATGAATTGGAAGTTGATCTGTCAGCACTATCCTTATCTTTAGGGCAGATGTTTTTATTTTATTTGGCTTATAATTCCTTACTAAATGTAGTATTTCATCTCGATGTACTCCGCCTTTGATATGATTTAAATCAAATTCCTCGTCATTAAAATTCGCTTCCGATAGCGAAGAAAGTAACACAGAGGTTATTGAAAACGAAAAAATTTCGATTGACAAATTAGTCGGTATTCTCGACACAGCAATTATAGGACTTGAACAGCGAAACTTTGTAACTGAACAAGAAATTATGTCTGCTTATAGAATTAAAGAGGAAGTATTATCACATAAAAAACGAAGCAACTTAAACAACTTTACATTGAAAGAAATGTTTAATAAAGTAAACAAATAAATATTAACCTTCTTCTTTTTTTTGGTAAATTTTGATACCCTTTAGATCATAATTGTTCTTTATTTCATAAATTACGGTTTCATATTTTTTATTTTATAATTTCTGCATGCCATCTTACCAGATTTAAACTGATGATCTATAATCCGGAAAAATCGATAATCCGGAATCGCCGAAGTCCCGACGAGTCCGGATTAACGACTTTTGATTGTATACTTGAATGCTGCACCAAAATACGATGAAATTTGTTGCCATAATGAGAAAAAAAGTCAAGGTTTTTTTTTTCCTGAAAAGAATTCAGCTACTTTATACCATTAATGAGCTATAGAGAACGGCTTATAGAATCCGTGTTGTTGAGGGATTAGGACTTCTTTTTTATTGACGAAGTTAAATAATCTTCTTATGAGTATTGCTTCGGAAACATTGCATAACGCTAAGAATAAACAAACTCTTCTGTAAGTCGTTGCTATCTCAGGAGATTTCCTAGACTTTAGAACTGGAGTAATACTTTTGTTTTCATAAACTGAGATTCGACAGAAGAAGGGTAAGATGATTTGTGGTTTTGATGAACCTGAATATCGTTTCGAGAGAAAGTTTCCTTAAGATTTTATTATTAATGTCGTTAACATCTGAAGTTTTCTTTGAAATTTAATGTAGTTACTTGTGTGATGGTAAAGAGGATTCGATTTTCTTGGTTTATATAGGGCATATTATTTTAATTCGCTTATTTTGTTTTTGGTACTGAATTGAACTCTCTTTTTAAGCGAGATTTCAAATCTGCTTGCAGACAGTTAGTAAATTTATCATCTTTCCTTGAGAATTAAAAATAACAGCAAATGAAATGTGAAAGAATACAGCAAGCTTTAGAGCAGATTTCGTTCTTTCTTTATTGTGGTATTTATCGTTTTACTGCTCAATCGGTATAGTGGTTAGCGTGACGAA